TAAAAATGGATACTTAGACTCTGTGCTGATCAAAGAAATTAAACTTGTTAGAAACCTACAAGGAAAATTCCAGGCCCACGTGGCTTCTATGAATCCTATGAAGCATTTTATAGAAGAAACCGTAACAAGTCTGTGTGAATTCTCCCAGTAAACCAAGCAAACAGGGACCACACGGACTCACTGAAGGAGGCAAGCATCGCCGAGGCCCACATCGGCCAACGACATCACAAGATTTAAAAAACCACAGATGGGTACCTCCCTCAACACAGAGGCAAACCTCCGTGTAAAATGTCACCAACACCCATGCAGGTTGATACATATCTCACTATGATTAAACGAGTCTATCCTGAGGATTTAAGGCCAAACCCTCCAATGGTGCAATTCACAACACTAACAGCGGATGCAGAGAAACCAGGCAAGATCAGCATCGGCTGGTGATAAAAAAGGCCAGGAAGCGAAGGACGGAAGGCTCTTCCGTCAGGTGAACAGTGAAGGGCATTAGTGAAGTGCCCGCCTCCAGCAAACACAACGCTGCACAGCAGAGCTGTCTCCTTAAGGCCACAGACAAGGCGAGGGCGGCCACGTCCGCCTGTCGGTGCAGCACTGTCCTGGTCCCCAGCCAGGTAGTGAGGTGTCTCACGGGAAAAGGCGTATGTGACTTTCTTCCTAATACACATCAGAGGGCGCAAACCAAGGACTCAGGGCGGGAGGGAGCCTTCCTCAGCGCCCGCACAAACACACAGGCCTCACAGGACGAGGAAGCGCACCTACACCCACCCAGGGACCAGTCCCTCACCAGCAGGGCTTCCCTTCCTTCCAGAAACAGGGTTGAGTAGCCACACGCCTGTGCCTGGCTCCTCAACAGGTTTATCCCGCCACCCGGGCACAAGGTTGTGGAGAAGGAGGTTGGCGTCTCCCATCTGGACGGCGTCGCTGCCCCGCGGCCACGGAGGCGAGGCGGGCGTGGGAGCTGCCCTGCGGGACGCCCACCTGGGTTGGTGTAGAGCTGGCTCTCCACGGTCTGGCCAATGCACTGCAGCTTCACCGCCTGCAGCGTCTCGTCCACGTGCAGGAGGGTGGGCAGGCTGCCCAGCGTGTCCTGCACCAGGTTGGCCACTTCCCGGACGTCGAAGAGCTTCAGCAGCTCCGAGTACACGGCAGGGAAGGAGCTCAGGAACACGGCCTTCAAGAGAGAAACGCAGGTCAACTCCCGGCATGCTCTCAGCAACGAGCTGGGAGACATCAGGGCGGCCCGGCCCCATGGCTCAGGGGTTGATTGAGTGTCAACCTGTGAACCAGGAGGTCACAGTTCAATTCCCAGTCAGGGCACATGCCCGGGTTGTGGTCTCGATCCCCAGTGTGGGGGGTGCAGGAGGCAGCCAATCAATGATTCTCTCTCATCACTGATGCTTCTATCTCCCTCTCCCTCTTCTTTCCTCTCTGAAATTAATAAAAATGTATTTATTTGTTTGGTTGATTGGTTGGTTAATCCTCACCCAAGGGTATTTTTCCATCGATTTTTAGAGAGAGTGGAGGAGAAAGGGACAGAGAGAAACATCGATGTGAGAGAAACGCATCGATTGGTTGCCTCCTGCAAGTGCCCCGACCAGGGTCCAGGTCGAGGAGCAGCCTGCAATGGAGATAGCTGCCCTTGACCAGAGTCGAAGCCGGGACCCTTTGGTCTGCAGGCCGACGCTCTATCCACTGAGCCACACTGGCCAGGGCAATGAAAAATATATGTAAAAAGAAAAGCAACGCACCTGGGACTGAGAGAGCGGCCCGGCCCCTTTGCTCTCCTGCGAGAGGAAGAAGCGCACGGACAGGAGCAGCTCGCGGATGCAGCAGCGGAACTCCTCCTCGTGCTGCCCGCCCGTGGCCAGTGAGAACAGCCGGCGCGACTGCACTATGTACTTGAAGATGTACTCCTGGGCCTGCAGCACAACGGCGACACGGTGACCCTCAGTGAGCGCAACGGCACTGACACACAAGGACAGGCAGGGAGCCGGGACAGCAACAGGGTTAGGCTTCAAATCCCCGATTTAAACGCAAAGGACCGGGAGGTTCTGAGCAGCACGTGTATGTGGGAGAAGAGTCCCTTTTCTCTGAGGCCTAATGAGGGAAGACGTCTAGATCACTTAACATTTCTCTGCGTGGCTGCCAGAGGGGAGGGAGCAGGGGGGCCGGGGGAGAGGGGAAGGGAGTGAGAAGTATAAGCTGGCAGTGACAGAACAGTCACAGGGAGGTGACGCACAGCAGAGGGAGGACAGTCGTTAATACTGTCATAGCGACATGATGTTGTCATACGGTGTCAGGTGGTCCTAGACTCATGGGGGGCCTCATCCCTTCGTAAGTTACACACATGTCTACCCGCCATACTGTGCACCTGACACTAGTATAATACTGAATGTCCGCTATCATTGAACAATTTTTTTTTAATTTTAAATACATCAATATAAAAATTCTATGTAATTCTTCAGAGGCAAAAACAAAATATTTTAATCCTCAGAGATTTTTAAATTAACAAAAGAAGTCTGTTCTCGAAAGTTAATTTTGCTTTGCTAGTGTATACTCTTGCCACTTAGTATCTTCCCTTCAAGCAGACCCAGTGATCCACGTATCCGAATATTAAGGGCCTACTTGTCTACCTTCCTCCACCGACACCGCATAGGGCGGTGCCCACAGCCGGCGTCGGAAGACGGCCGGTAGTTCCTGGGCCATCCCCTTAAGAAGCTGTGTTCTCTTTGGACATGTGTGCAAGTGAGGTCTCAGCATCTCCACATGCACCTGAGCACGCGGCCCCGGGAGGTGGACAATGTTAAAGTAGGAGACCCGGTAAAACCTGTTTCCCTTCCGTGGTCCCTGCTAAGCACCCATTCTCTCAGCGAATGTCAGGAGAATCGCTCCCAGATGGTGATAAAAGCCAGAACAGGGAACGGCCAAGCGTGACCGCCCACCTGCGGTCCTCGCACAAACCCCCTAGTGCCAGCCCAGACCCCAGGGGTTCAGGCGCCCAGAGGAGGAAGGTGCATCCCGAGCGGGTGCCGTGGGCAAGCCTGGGGGGGTCCCTTCCAGTGTCCCCAGCTCTGCAGCGGCCGGGGTGCGAGTCAGATCCTTGGGGTGCAGTGAGCGCCACCCCCACCCCTGTCTGCGTGGAGGGGCCTGTTCCCCGAGGCATCGCCACGCCCGGCGCCCTGAGAGGCCTCGTCTGAGGTTACCTTCAGCACCTCCTGGATGTGCTCCTGCCGCTCCGCCTCCGTGATCCGGTCCACGTACCACTTGAGCACCTTGATGAGGTCCCTAAAGTGCGGGGGAAACGGGCGGGAGGGTCTGCTTAGAAAAGCGCCCACAACGCGGTGCTAAAGCGACGCCAGGAGGAAGGGCTCACCTGTACGCCAGGGCCCCGGCAAAGTGGCTCTCGATGTACGTGTCCATCACCGGCTTGAAGTGATGGAATTTGCTGTCTTGCAGCAAATTTATGATGTGAACCTAAGAAGAAAACGGAGCTTTAGGAAACCACAGGCAAGCCCGGCCGTTTTGTAATTTTTAAGCGAATCCTCACGCTCTCAAGTGTCCATTTCCAGAACGGCCTTAGGCGAGTCCAGAGGGACAGGCGACACTGTTAAGATGTGATGAAAGGGAATGCAAACTCACCAGAGAATCAAACACTTTTGACCCATACTTTTGGGAATTTTCATCTAAAATCCCGAACAAGGTGTCCAGGGTGTCTTGCAGAAACTGTTAGGGAGAGAAGAAGAAAATCCCCCCATCAAATGGGAGCTGTCCTTCCCCTCTGACCAGCCCCATCCCGACGGCCCCGTGAGGGGCAGGGACCAACCCCCACCCCGAGGGCCCCTCGAGGGACAGGGACCAGCGACCAGCCCCACCCCGAGGGCCCCGAGAGGGACAGGGACCGCGTGTACCTTGACGATCTCGGAGCCGTCGATCTCTTTCAACTTGGAGAGGCAGCCTGGGATCTTGTCGGGGTGAGTTCTCCACTTCAGAAGGTCAAGCATGTCGCCTTCGAACAGAACAGAAATTCATGTCTCACCCGAGAGCACGGGTCCCAGGCTGTGGCTGTCTGTCTGCGCCCCGCTGGGCTGAGAACCCAAGGCAGCCAGCCACGCCAGGCTCGGCCCCGCTGTGTTCCCAGCACCCACAACCCCAGGGCGGGAGACTGGCCCCCCAACATGCTCCAGGTTTGGTAAATGCTTGATAGTCCACACAGCGCTCTGCCCATGCGGCCTTATTTAGGGAACATCACGACCCACTGACGGATAAAGTCTGGGCAACGTGGCATCTCTTAACCTGGGGCTAAGAGCCTTCCATCAAGGTCCCCCAAAATAGAGGATGCCGCTGATTGTAAAAAGCACATCTCCAGAGATACTCTGGAAGGGGAGAAACCGAAACGAAGATAAGCCTGAGAGAACCATGTCCCCGGCCCTGCGTATAGAAACAGACAGTGGCCCGGGGAACCCAGAGGTGTCTGCTAAGGGGTCCGTGTTGACAGGACACATTTTGCCTGATGCCCACGAGGAGACATCTCTCGGAGGCGCCGCCCTGCACCTCCGAGAGACCGGCAGCTCTGAGCCCTGCCCAGGCACAGTGCTTCACCAGGCGCGATGCCTCCCTGCGAGTGGCTCTCCTCAACACCAGGCCCCCAACTCATTCACATGGACTTCGGGGTGCGTGCCAGACGCGTCATGCGGCGACGAGGAAGAACCCCGGCGTGTCTGACTCCCCGCATCACAGACGTGGCTTTCAGGACGGTTCGCCCAGCAGATCACCCTGCTTCATTAATCATCGCTTCCTAAACGCCCTGCCACACACAGGAACCTACACCCCAAAGCCGTCCCCACCTAGTTAAACACCAACCGGCTTACACCACAGCCTGCAACTGCCGCGTCTATGGAGCCAGAAACCAGGGAGAGGAAGGTGGTGGTGTTCTTTCTCTCACTTGATTCTCTCTCTTTTTTTAAATATATTTTTATGTGATTTCAGAGAGGAAGGGAGAGAGAGAAACATGAGAGAGACTCACTGATTGGCTGCCTCAAACAGGTGCCCTGACCGGGAATAGAACCGGGACCTCCTGCTTCATAGGTCAGTGCTCAACCACTGAGCCACACTGGTCCGGCTTATTCTCATTTTTTAAGCAGGCGGTTTTGAGGGTTGACTGGAAAGCTGTGTACGTGAGCTCCAATCTTGGGTCATTATGAGGCCCTCACGTGACATGCATTGTACAGACCCGGGTCAGGACGGTCCCGTTTTCCTGGGCATCTCCCCCCCCCCCCATCCCCCCACCCCCCGCCCCAGAGGGGTCGTGCTCCTCCAGGGTCTGAACTGCCGGCTGGTGACCGACGATGCCCACCAAACCCCAGCCCTGCACCCCGAGAGGGTGGGACGCTACCGTTCTGGGTGAGTTTCGTGGAACAGAGGAACGACGTGATCCAAAAAGACTCCTTTGTGGTCTTGGGGGCGAGGCTGCTAGTCCCAAGGAGCAGGCCCTTGGAGAAGGGGAGCTTGAGGTAGCGGGTAGGGTCCTGAAGGCTCGTGTTTTCTTCGCACTGTTCAAAAACAGAAAGAAAGGAGGCCTCCTGAGAATTACAGTTTCCGGCTCTCGTGTTTATGACCCGGGAGACGCTCCAAACAGAATCACGAGTAGATCTGGCTTTGGAGTGGAATGCGGCAGAGGTGTGTAAGAGGAACGAGGCTCGGGTTCGGACCGGGACCGGCGGGGGTGGAACCCCAGCTCTGACACTTCCCACACGAGGGGCTGCCCCACGCCCCTTACCCCGTGGGACCTCCCTGCCCGTCTCGAAGCCCCTGGTGTGGTCGTGAGGAGCAGAACAGAGGGAGCCGTGCACTGCGCCTGGCTGGTGGGCAGCACAGAATTTTGGAAAAAATGCTCAAGTTCTTCCAACAGCTCAGCTGAGGCAGCTTTGAAACAACTCCTTCCTTTGAGGACGGGCGACCGGAGAGGACGGTATTTCAGGGGAACCTGACAGTCCCATCCCTGAGGGGGATCTCTCCCTCCCAGAAAACGCCGCTAACAAAGGTAAGAAGAACTGCAGATCTAAACACAGACAGCTTCACATTCCTGATGTAACTCTCTCTTCAGGCAAGGGTGGTCATTCCGGGCTAAAACCAGCGGGAACAGGACAGAGGAAATGGACATCCGTGATGCCCATGGAGCAGCCCTCAATCCTCCTCCTGCGAGAGGCCGAGGGCCCTGGGCGTGGGGGACGGGCTGTCATCACACCCACGTGGGCGTGCCGAGGGCGACACCCCCTCTACAGCGCCGCCCACAGACGCTGCCCATCTGTCTCACAGCCTGTCCGTCCTAGTTCTCGGAGGCTTCCGGCATGCTCCTAACTCACCACGCACCACCGGGGTTCTTTTCTACATGTTTTTATTGATGTCAGAGAGGAAGGGAGAGGGAAAGGGAGATAGAAAATCTACGAGAGAGAATCATTGATCGGCTGCCTCCTGCCTGCCCCCTACTGGGGATCGAGCCTGCAACCCGGGCATGTGCCTGACCGGGAATCACACCAGTGACCTCTTGGTGCAACCACTGAGCCACACCAGCCAGGCTGAGCTAGCTAATCTTAAAGAACATAGAAACGACACTGCATAGAGTTGATAGACGTTTTTGTCACCCCAGGAAAACCCAGTTACACCCCTAAGCCGGATGGTGGTGCCACGTGGACCCCTGGCATCTTGGGGGACACGGGACCTGCCACCGCCAGCCCCCGCTCGCGTTACCTTGTGCACGATGAGCTCGTGCGTGCCGTCTGGGAGCGTCCTGCCATCCTCCTGCATCAGGGGGATGAAGGAGAAGCCAAACAGCTTCTTCTCGCCCTTCTCCTTGGCTGTGGGGAAAACAAAGATGGCGACGACTTACCGGCTCACGTCAGCACCTGCCGACACAAGGCTCAGAGACACAGGCTGCGGAGAAGCCGCTGATCGAGTCATCCAGCCACGGAGCTCTGTCGGCAGCGGCCCCTCCAGCCCCATCCCCATCCCTGCCCCTTCGGCAGCAATTTCCACTCCTTGACTAACTTGCTCATTATCTGAAATGACGGGTATTCTTCTTTCATTTGTGTATCGCCCCTTTCTTATCACATCCCACCCCCCACTTGGGGATGTAAGCTCCACGGAGGGCAGGTTCCTTCTCTGCTTTGTTTTATTCTAAGCTTGGTGTCTCCAAGAGTGAGTGGCAAGACCACAGGAGCTTCTCAAGAAACACATGTGACTGCACGCATGACCTAACGCATGTGAAATGCAGTGTTTCTCTTGCTACTCACGGAAAGGGGTCTCGAGCCCGGCCAGTGTGGCTCAGTGGTTGAGCATCAACCTATAAACCAGGAGATCACAGTTTGATTCCTGGTCAGGGCACATGCCCGGGCTGCCGCCTCCTGGGGACCTGCCAGGCACGCTGGGAACAGCGGGAAGGCGGTGGACGGCGGCAGGACTCGCTGCATCGGGTCTGGAAGCTGGAAGTAGGGCCATGGTTTTCAGGTGCCTGACTGAGAACTGCAACAGCTGAGGGGCCGAGGACCAACAGCAACGAGTGTGGATAAGGAAACTGAGATCACAGACGGGAGGTGCGCGGCCTAGACCTCCCGATTCCCGCCGCCACCTTCCTCCGAAACCTGGAGCAAGCTTTCAGGGAGCCTGTGTGTTCAACTCCACTCTCCGTCTGCACTTAACTATTTTAGTTTTTTATTGATTGATTTTAGAGAGAAGGAAAAGGGAGAGAGAGAGAGAAACACCGATGTGTTGCTCCATTATTCATGCATTCACTGGTTGATTTTTGTATGTGCCCTGACTGGGAATCAAACCCACAACGTTGGTGTATGGACACGGCGCTCTAACCAAGGAGCCACCCGCCAGGGCCTCCTCCTGCCTGGCGATAGGCAGGGAGGCGTCCCAGGGCCTGGTGGCTGCTCCTCCCCACACAGGCCGCACGTGGAGGCTGACACGGGATGGGAAAGCCCAGCTTGGAGGTGAGACCTGAGGGGGAGTTAGACACGGTGACCTTGACGGTCAGACACGAGGCTTCAGGAAAAGTCCCTCCCTCACAGCTGCTTCTGCATTTAACCCCCGAGAGGACCCCACACAGAGACCCGCTGTCCTGCCTGCTGGCTCTGGCCCCCGCACGAGGCCGTCCCTGAAAACGGAATGATCACACAGGATTTTCTTTTTTAATCATTCATTTCAGCTCCAGAGTGAAGCTGGGCAAATGTCAATATTCTTTACAAAGTAAGCAAAAGTCATGATCATTCCCCATCTTTGCCTCAGTTGATCACTGGCACCTGACAGACACATCTGCTCGATCCCCTCTGGAAAGTGTCTCTTCACTTAGCCCCCGACTCTCCTCCCGCCTCACTGGCTACTCCTTCCTAAGCTCAGCCGTGCCTCCCTCCCCTCTCCCAAGATCTCCCTCCGTGGGATCATCCTCAGACTCTCCTTTGCTCTCTAGATGGACTCCTTAGAAACCTGCCCAGCCTCGCGGCTCTGGAATCACCCACATGCTAGTGGCCCGTGGGAGCCGGCTGTCCTGGGCACGAGGCCCACGGAGCACGAGGCCCACGGAGCACGAGGCCCACGGAGCACCCCGCTCCCCAAGGGCAAGTCGGTGACATACCGTTGGCGGTTCAAAGTGGCCACAGTGGGAGGATCTACCCCACATCAACCATTAAACACTGCACTCCGGGGCGCCCTCACCCCTCATCCACACAACACTCGGCCGAGCCGAGCCAGGGCCACTCACTGGAGCAATGCCGGAACTCGAAGCGGATGTGCGCGCCCCGGAACTTGTCCACGGGGATGGGCAGCTTCAGCAGCTCGGCCCAGCGCGGGCTGTTGTTGTGGTACAGCACGAAGGAGTGGTACTCGCTGGCCGGGGGCTCCCCGGAGCCGAAGGAGATGAAGTCCTGACGGAGAAAAGGGGTGATGAAAGGCAGCGCCCTGGAGATGGCTGTGAAAGCAGCCGGGCGCTCGCTTCGGGGATCTGCCTGCTCCCCACACACACTCGGGTCCTGGGGCTGGCTCCGCTGCGCCTGCTTCACTCCGAGGCTGGTCTCCCAGGCTCCGTGCACGGGTGGGGCTCGGGGATGTGTGCGAGGCGGGCACTGGCACGGCCCGGGTGAAGGTCGAGTGCACGGCAGAGAGCTTGCCCTCTGCAGTGAAAGCCGTGCTGTGCCCCCGGGAAGCTCACACAGAGCACCCTTCCGCAGAGAACCCGGGCCGTCTCCCCAGCTCCTCACACCCGTCTCCACGCCTCCCTTTGGTCAAAATGAAAATACACAGGACGAAAGGTGTGATTTTTTGTTTGTTTTTACCAATGGCCAATTGGAAGTATTTGTCTCCAAAACCATGACAGATGAAAAGGAAAAATACGAAATGGCTTTAAAATACTGTATTTACAGAATAACGGCTAGGAGGAGATTGTAGACACGGTTAATTCAACAATTAAACTGTAAAAGCCTGTTAGCTTTCCGACGTTCCTTTCTGAACGGCATTTTAATGATTTAAAACATCCCCGGGGATAGAGAAGAAAGGGAAGATGGAAAATACTGCAAGTCAGAAATGAACGGATCTCGCTCCGGACGAGCCCAAAGCGATGGCCTGGGACTGTCTCGCCCAGAACCACTACCTTACCTTCAGGGTCTGGCCGCCGCTCTCCACGATGAACATCGTCACCTCCACGTTCCTGGCCACGCTCTTGCCTCCTTTCTCAAACTCTCCCCTCTCTACGGTGATGTACAAGTCGTTCCTCATCTCACCTGCGGGGGGGGGGGGGGGGGGGGGAATTAAAGCCGTTTTACATCTGCTCGGGAGGGAAATGAAGGACTCTACGGAGGAAAGCTCCGTTCATCAAGCGCAGGGTTCCACACACATCTTCTATTTATTCTTTTACGAAAGGTCGCCCACCCTCCCTGCCAGTCTCCACGCCCGTCAGGCCGCCTCTGCAGGCCGCATTCTCAACAACGAGCGTGTGTGTCCAGGAGGCGCCCCTGGGGTTGAGGTGAAAGGCGCTGTCCGATGTCCCCATATCCCAGTATTTCCCTCCTGGCATCTATGAGGTGCGACGACAGAAGGACAGCCCCGCGGGGCGGCTCCCAGAAGCCAGTCTGACACTCGGGCGCCGGCACGCAGCCCAGAAGCAACACCCAAAGGGAAGAGGATGGCAGGCCCGCGAGGACAGTTACAGGGCACGTCTTTCCCAGAATTCCTGGACACGGTGACCTCACAGCCGCCAGGAGACTTGGCTTGGGAGAGACGGGAGCGAGCCTGACTCCACAGCAAGTTCCTGTCCATCATGAGAGCCGGACCCAAGCGCCTGAGCAGGCACGTCCCAGAGAGTGACTCAGGCCACAGAGTGTCTGTCACGTGGCCTCACATTTTCCACGGCTCACCGATCCTGCCCAGAGACCCGCAGCTGGCGGCCTTCTCCGCTGACATGTGTTTTTTAGATCAGATCTGCCCATCCCGTTGCTTCCCGGTGGGATGACACTTGTCCTTTTTTGTTAAAGAGGAAATACCAGGTATTTATAGCTCAGAAGGAACAAGTAGTGGGATTGCCCGGCACCAAGGTCCCCGTTCTGTGCACAGCGTCTTTCGACCACATGCACGGGATGCGGGGCCGGGCCCTGCGCAGGGTCAGGTCGGGAGACTCCAGCTGTTCTCCTGGCCTCTGGGGGTGATTCCCCCCGGGAGGCCACAGGACGCTGCACACCGTGCCTGGGCCTCTCAGAGCAACTGCCCCTCACGCTGTGACACGTGGGTTTTGACTGTGACTGAGACGACCTGCTTTCTACAAACCCTGTGGGCTCCTGCAGCCTCTTCATCTGCTCTTCCTACCTTTTTCTTGGTGGTGGAGGGGGCTGTGGAGCTTGAGAAAATACTACCGCTTGGCATTTGCTTTAAGAGTGTGAATCTCGTCTGGCTGGTTCGGCCCAGTGGATAGAGCGTCAGCCTGTGGACCGAAGGGTCCCAGGTTCCATTTCGGTCAAGGGCACGTGCCTGGGTTTTGGGCTCGATCCCCAGTAGGGGGCGTGGAGGAAGCAGCCAATCAATGATTCTCTCTCATCATTGATGTTTCTCTCTCTCTCTCTCCCTCTCCCTTCCTCTCTGAAATCAATAAAAATATATTTTATAAAAAAAGAGTGTGAATCTCCTTTTCCCCCTCATTTTTAAAATAATTTAAGTGTAGCCGGTTACAATATTATACGGGTTACATTAGTTTCAAGTGCACAACATAGCGATTTGACATTTTTGACACCTTGCAATGTGACCACCCCACTAAAAGGAGCACGAACGCCCTTCTCCCCATCTCCAGCACCGAGAAACACTTTTTGGAGTGTGTTTCGGCTGCACACACACACACACACACACACACACACACACACACGTATCTCTGGTGACAAATCCTCCAAGAAAGGCTAAATGTTGCTCAATAACTTCTCTAAACCTACAGGGCTTCCTCTCAGCAACGTCACTGACACTTCCCACCCGAGGGGGACATTCTCTGGACACGACCTCAATGTTCCCTCCGATCACAGTCAGATGACACGCGGCCACGCCTCCCAGGCCACCTGTCCTCACATCATCCAAGTGTAGGTACTATTAAAACACGGCTGCTTCTTAGCACACCCAGCAGGTCCCCAAGTCAGGTCATCTCGTTATAAGACGGATGAGATGCGGCAGAAACTGAACTCCTGTTTCTCTCCATTAGTTCGCCTGCGGGGAAACTGGCTTCATTCTGCGTCCTTTCGCCTAAAGTCACAGACCTGCCGACGACAGTCAGTGAGGGCTTGCTGTGCCTCCTCTCATTCACCAGCATCGCCCACCTGAACGCTTCGAAATCTGAAAACTGTCTCCAGGGTCGAACACAGACACAATCCGTCCATTTCATCACGTGGGCAGCTCCAGCCACTTACCCGGCATGATGATGTTGGAGAAGCCCAGCTTCCTGGTGATGGACACGCCGTGAGAAAACACCGACGGGTACTCCCTGCGGATCTGCTCGAGGTCTCCGTGCAGCAGCTGCAGGGACACGGCCAAGCCTGGAACAGACGAGGGCGCGGGGTCACAGGCCGGGGCCAGACACCCAAGTGCTCCCCAAGCCCAAACCAAGGCACCAGGGTTCATTGATTGGTTTTTATTGATGTCAGAGAGGAAGGGAGAGGGAGAGGGAGACAGAAACATCAATGACGAGAATCATCCATTGACTGCCTCCTGCACACCCCCTACTGGGGATCGAGCCTAAAACCAGGGCATGTGCCTTGACAGGAGATCAAACCCTGACCTCCTGGTTCAGTGGTCGGCAAACTCACTAATCAACAGAGCCAAATATCAACAGTACTTCTTCAAAATAGACTCGCCCAGGCCAAAAACCGACTTCTGCGCGTGGGCCACGAAGTTTCAATCACACTGTGCGTGCACGCCCGCACGTGGTTATTTTGTGGAAGAGCCACACTCAAGGGGCCAAAGAGCCGCATGTGGCTCACGAGCCAGTTTGCCAACCACTGTCCTGGTTCATAGGTCGACGCTCAACCACTGAGACACACCGGCCGGGCAAGGTAGCAGTGTTTTAAACTAAGGGTCACTATTTAGACAAAAGCACCAGAATCCATAGGATGATTTCTAGGGCAGACTTTCCAGCCTGAATCCTGAGTGTTCCCACATGGAAGGAAGTTCATAGCGATGGAAAACCCGTAAGCAGGACCCTGAGAAGGGAGGTCTGACTCCTGGCCCCAGCTTCTCTCCCAGCACCCGGAGGAAACACTCATTCCACGTGTCAGCCATCCCGCCCCATCACGGCTTAGGGCACCACCATGCCATCTACACACACAGACATAAGAGTGGCGGCGATCACGCTGAAATGAAGAGAGAAGCAGGACGATTTACATACATCCGGCGGGGCTCTCCCTCTCGCCCTCCCTCTGCTGAAGGATTCAACAAATAACAGCAGAAGCAGGGCTTCCTGTTGGTTTGTGTGCTTTTCAATAGAGTAGTTCAAACATCAAGGGCATTTGTTTACAGGAAAGCATGAGGCTCAGAGAGGAGCCTTTCCCTGTCCAGATCCGACCTAGAGGAGGCCTGGCGACCTGAGGGGCGGAGCGGACAGGAGGCCAGGCCTCCTGGGCGTGGACCTAAGATCACGCTGTGTCAGAGTTGCTGGGGGAATTGAATGAACTCCGGCAGGTCCTTCACCTGCCTCGTCGCCCCATTTGAGTTGGGTGACTAGCACATCTGTCCATCTGTCCTCTGAAAGTCGCAGGGGCTGGACAATGGTAGGAAAATGGTCCAGATGATCTGCCGGCGACAGCAGGGTTCCCGTGGAAACCCAGAGGCGGGGGAACGAAGACTCGCTCACGTGTTACAATCCCTCCGTCCCAGGAGCGGTTTCTCCCTGACGCACACTCTCCCATGACCTCCCCACTCATCACTGGTGTCTCTACTCTCCTCCACTTCTGTCCTTTTGCCTTCAGAATACTCACCCGCACCGTCCCCATCGCCCCTGGGGATGCTGGCATCTGGGGAAGGCAGACCAGTGTGCGCCCGACACTTACATAGTGACAGCCACTCCCACAGGACATGCCCACGGCCTGGCGCTCTGAGCCACGCGTCCAGGCAGAGGGTCCGGTGGACTGGACAGCGGTCTGAGGTCCTGTGAGTTCCTGCAAGTGAAGGTCCCTTTCCCAGGACTTCTCATCACAGGCTCTGCCCAGGACACTGGGAGCATGATGAGGTATATGTGAGGCAAGGAGAGAGAAGAACCAACTGATAATGAAAAGAGCAACCACCAAGAGATCACGCTACTCGGGGCAGGGGCTGGAGGAAAGAAACGTGACAGGATTCATATTCTGCTACTTTGGAGCCAAAATTCATGTAACCATCAGTGGTTTTTTTTCTTTAATGTAAGCAGAATACTTTACAGAGGATAAGGCAATGAGAGAAGAAACGCAGCCAGAGCCCATGTGAATGCTGAAGAAAACTGAAGATGGGAAACAGAGAAAACGTATGTTCTAGGGAAAGACAGACATGGAAGCATGAACAGTGAAACACATCCATGTTCTAGCCAGCCAGAGCCATAGAGATGAGGGTGCAGGGGATAGAGAGGCCCGTGTGGGAGACAGACCCAGAGGAGCCAGCGGGGCACAGAGGAGCCAGTCAGGCACGCGGGAGGCGAGGAGAAGGTGACAGGAGGATGCAGACATCACCGGGGGGAAGAGGAAAGCCATGGAGCCGAGCGGCCCTAAAATTCGACAAGGTATGTTAGCTTCACCCCGAAGGTTTGGGAAGATGTGTGTCATGATCTCATTTGTCCAGCCGAGTGACACGAGTGTGGAGGAGAGGAGAAGGCACTGCCTGTTGAAGTGACCCAGTTCCTCCGGAATAAGGAACTCACGGGGAGTCAGGGACTGGGAAGGCCAGCCGGACCGAGGGCTCGCCCACACGTACCTGGCTCTTCCCAAATCCTCAACTCCGTTTCCGTTAAAGCAGACAAAACACGCACGACAATATCCAGGTGATGTATTCAGCCCTGTACACCTGAAACCTACATCATTCTACTAACCATGTCACCCCAATAAATTCAGTGAAAACTAAGGAAAGCGCACAGGCACACGGACTATGGGCAGAATGGGGCAGTGTGGAACAGGAATGTTCAGATAAGGGGGAAATGTTACTGACTGAGGACATTTGAAAGTTCAGGGAGGATTTTTTGATAAACCTGGGATTTCCAACAACATAAGCTGAAGAATTAGGTGAAAACTTTAATTTCACAAAACAGGTCCATCGGGTTTTACAATCCCCTTTTTTTCTGGCCCAAAATAGAATTGCTAAGGGGGGAACGGTCCCCTTTACCAGAAGAAACACTCATTAAACTGAGCTTTTTAACAATCAGCCTCGATGTTTAGGACCCAACTGCCAGTGCCTGAGCTCTGATTTTAATGAAAGGCTCGGTCACCAATTAGTCTAAAGTGTGTAACAAACAGCATGGTCTTTGGGACGAAGCTCGGCTCCTGAGGCAGCACAGGAGGGAAGGCGTGGGGCTGTTACACCGCAGGGGTCCAGAGCCGGTGGCTCTCATTCCACGGGAAGTGAGGCCAACTCGCTCTGTGAGGGGCATCCTTTGAAATTCATGAGATTCTGCACTTTCACATAAAAAAACGGCAAGCACAGCATGATTCATAAGTCGCTGGCGAAATTAATTTCCGACTAGATCAGCCATTTTGCCACCAATGAACTAAATGACACAGAGCTGGGAATAGCGACAGAAATGCAAAAAGTGAGAAACGGTCATAAATACACTGACCACGTGTTATGGTTAGGCGTGCAGTGTACAGAGCACATGACACAGCTCCCGTGGCCATGTGACCGTGCTGTCCACATCCGCGAGATGCCTGGCTGCGCCCAGGCCCGTCCCTGCCTGGGGTGGGGGTGGGTGGGAGAAGGGAGCCCCGGCCTCTCCGCCACCTTTCCCAGGAATTCAGCCACGCAGCGCTGAGCGATGACCAAGGTTGGCGGGCTTCACCTGCTGGGGAGGCCGCACCCCTGACTGACAGCTGAGGGGAGAAGAGCTCCAGCTCTTGGCCACACCCACCTGGAGCAGAATTCCCATCATGCTGAGCGGGGGCCGGTGGGAGGGGGAAGCGGATTGTGGCACAAGGGCCACCAACTCTCTCTGTTCTTATCAAGATTCAGTTGTAATTCTTGCCCGGCCGGCCTGGCTCGCTGGTTGAGTGCTGCCCTATGAACCAGAAGGCCGTGGTTCGATTCCCGGGCAGGGCACATGCCCGGGGTGCAGGCTCGGTCCCTGGCTGGGGTGCATACAGGAGGCAGCCAACTGATGTTCTTTTTTCACGTCTTTGTTTCTCTCCCTCTCCCTTCTTCTCTCTCTAAAAATCAATAAAGACATTTTTTTATTACAAAATAAAGTGAATAACATATATGTTATTTGAGTCCAACTCCTGGCCGGAGAGAACGCTGGGGGCTGCATCCTGGCTGCGGGAAGCAGGGAGCCCGGGCTCAGGTGTGGGGTTTCCATGGGAGGTCAGGGCAGGGTCTCTGATCAGGACGTCTGGTCGGGGTGCTGCTGAGGGAGCCGGCGCCGCTGGGAAGGGACTCCGTGGAGCCACAGCCAGAAGCACTGGGCAGAGCCGAGTGCAGGCGTGAGCCAGGCTCATGAAGAGACAGGAGGGGTCAGCCCAGGTGGCCGATGGAGCAGTGTGGTCCTTACATGATGGGGTGAGCAGAGTACAGGGGAGTCACGCCTGACACCTGAGGATGGAGAATGTGTGTATGTATGTGTGATATGCGTGTATGTGTGATTGGTACATACATGTGTATATACAACTCTTAAAGATTATAACAATTCAGTAACATTAAATGGCTATACAGAGAGAGAATATACATATATACACAAAAACTACTTTAAAAACCCTCTATATTTATATATATGCAAAGGATGAATACATACGTGTGTATATATATGTGTACACACACAAAAACACACAGAGAGAAGGATAAAACAAATATAGTACAATGTTCGCCGTTGAGAAATCAGAAATTCTTTGCACTATTCTTGCAACATTTCTGCAAGTCAAATTAACTAAAAACAAAGACTAAAAGAGCATAGTTTCATAATCAGAAAACCCCAAAGGTGAGCCAAAAGGTCACACGCTACACGTCTAGCCGATAGGTGGCGCCAACAAGTACCACTTCCAACGGTCAGAAAGCGGTTTCTAAAGGCATCGATGTTCCGGACTCCAGCAGGGATACAGAATCACACGGTTCAGTCACAGTGACTGACACTGGCATGTGAGGCGAGGTTGCTCAAACCGCCCGCCCCCCCCACACACACACACACAACAGTCCAAGTCTCCCCAAAGCCTGCTCTCAGCTCAGACAACTAAACACACCACAGCTCCGTGCAAGGAGTGAAAGTGCCCTCCTGGTCAGAGCCCACGCGCCTCCCTCTGCCCTCCTGGGGGGGGGTGGGGGGGAGTTGCTGGCAGGATGGCCTCCACGCACATCCTCTCTCTAATGCAAGAGAAGGCTGGGCACGGACCGAACTCGCACACGTGGTCTCCGCCCGTAGTGAGAGAGGCGTGCAAAGTGCAGGAAACCGGGTTGCATAACCACGGAGACAAGAGGGAGAGATTCCGAAGTTTCTCTCAGGACACCCTGAACCAGAGCCAGAGATTCTGACAGACTGATTTCCAGTCACAGGGCTGGCGCTGCCTCCCTCCGCATTCCTACAATTCCCCGCGCACGGCCACCCCAGGTGACGCTCACAACAACCATCTGCTCACGAAGCCTAAACCAGGGTCACCCTCGCAGATATTTTTAGTTTCAAATTCTTACCAGAGTACTCCTGGATTTTTTAAAAATCTATTTTAATTGATTTCAGAGAGGAAGAGAGAGATAGAAACATCAATGATGAGAGAGAATCATGGATCAGCTGCCTCCTGCATGCCCCCTACTGTGGATTGAGTCTGAAACCCGGGCATGTGCCCGACTGGGACTCGAACCATGACCTCCTGGTTCATAGGTCGACGCTCAACCACTGAGCCACACCGGCCAGGCAGTATTTTGGATTTCCCACAGGGCAGAGCTTAGGAAATCTGAAGTTACTCAACTTAACTAAATCTGATCGAAGAAATATACTAATTCAATGGTTTTTTATTTTGGTCTTTAAGAGTTAAGAGGGCCACTAGCAATTACCTCCCAGTTTCTAAACACAAGGAAGACGGTGGTTAATGTACCTTTGCAACTTGAATCTCAGGTTTAGAGGGAGAAACCAGTTAACTCGACGAGTCCCTTTACGTATGAAACACGCCGGATTACAACTGCGAGAGGGAGGAGGGCGTCAGCGAAGCGTAAAGGAAATTAAGTGGTAGAACTTTCTTTTAAAACTCATTTCCAGTTACTCTTTTTCTTCTGTTTTTAGCACCGACGACCAAAGAACAGCAGGGGAAACGCCGTAGGAAAGCACTGCTTTGCTGAGTGGATGCAATTCTCTTGAAAGCGTCTGACTGCTCCGTTTCTTTTCAATCAACAATTCCACGTCCAAGGAGAAAACAGCGGAAGACAACACATCCCACCGCGGGCGGGGGGCGGGGGGGGGGGGGGCTGAACATTAGGCACCCCACTTCCCACTTCAATTCTGTGTGGGCTGCACCCCCACTTCTTTTAAGAAACTCATTAGAGAGCCTCCCTTTCAGTAATGAAGCCCAGCGGCTCGCACACACCTCGCTGACGGCTATTCCTACAACCTCCCGTCGTCCAGGGGACACAGGACAAGCCCCCGCCGAGACGGACGGGCAGAAACACAAGTGGAAGCAGCAATGGGCTTAGTCTTGTCTTTTTCAAAATGGACAGGGGCTGGGTTCCGCCAAAGGGGGAGACACCCTTGACCCAGGACCCTCCGGGACTAGGGTTTCTCTCCCTCTTTCCAGGGTGCCATCCGTGGTTGTCACTGTAGTGCGATGGCTCTAAGCAGAACAGGAACCTCTCGGGAATGAAGAGGTGGGAAGCTCACCTCTGGTCTCACCCGGGATTCCGGCAAGAATAAGCGGCGGTCGGTCAGTAAAACAGACTAAGTACCGCCCAGCCGGTGTGGCTCAGTGGTTGAGTGTCAACCTATGAACCAGGAGGTCACGGTTCGATTCCCGGTCAGGGCACAGGCCTGGGTTTCAAACTCAATCCCCAGTAGGGGGCGTGAAGGAGGCAGCTGATCCATGATTCTCTCATCATGGATGTTTCTCTCTCTCTCCCTCTCCCTTCCTCTCTGAAATCAATGAAAATATTAAAAAAACAAAAAAACAGACTAAGCACCGGGAGGAACCGCCCAGGAAAGAGACCATGCCCCTTCCTTCCTGGAGTCCCTGCTGTTGTCACCCAGTCTCTACGCACACACACGACCTCACGCGGTGTCCGTCCCCTCCTGGTCCTGTAGGGAGCCTGCCCGCGGCCCAGAGCACACCTCACCTCTTGTGGATTTTGTGGGAGTGTCAGACTCTGGGTGAGTCACACAAACCCAGGTCCCTCCCCGCCTCCTGGGAGAGGGAGGAGAAAGCTGACCGCATCGCAGCCGAGCACGGCCGGGCGGGGAGCTCGGGGGACGGATGGCTCCGGCCGCACTGACCCCTGAGTTCCCGTTGCAGCTGCTATTTCTCTGGGGGTCTGTCTGGCCCAGCACGGCGGGCGCGGGCGTGGGTGCGAGAAGAGGGGGTCTGAATGAAATGCTGGCTCTTCTGATCGCCAGGCAAGTTGGATATAACACAAACACCCCTGTTCGGTCTTTACAACAATGCATTCGGCCCAATACCAGCTGGCTTCATTGGAGGCCCCTTCATTTCAAAGAAAGCTCACAACGGCATAGGGGTTTTTTGTTTTGTCGGTTTTGTGTGTGTGTGTGTGTGTTTTTTTTGTTTTGTCGGGGTTTTTTGTGGGGTTTTTTGTTTTGTCGGTTTTGTGTGTGTGTGTGTGTTTGTGTGTGTGTGTTGTGTGTTTTTTGCTTCAACACGGGTGTGAAAGGGGGTAGGGAGCTAACAACAGTCCCCAAGCTTTTGTCTGCTGACCAGGCTTCAGGGCATGGCTGCCTGCGCGGCATCATGGCGATGCAGTCTAGTCTACAGTGTGTGACTGGGACGAGGCTGTGGACCCGTGGTATGTAGCTCACCATGCAGTGCCACGTGCCAGGTCCCTCTGAACGAGATGCACACGTTACCTACACGGCACGGCGGCCAACATGGCTCTCCCACGCCGCGTCCGCCCTGGGCCGCGTGCGCTCCGAGTAGATGACGCTGCCACAGCCCCGGTAGGGAAGCTGCTGTTCCCGCCCTCCCCCAGCTCACGGTGCATCCGGCCTCTCCCCACAAGGGCCAGGAGCCAGTGCATTCGCCATCTGATTTTCAGGAATCAGTCACAACGCAGAGGCCAAGGCTGGGTGCTCTTAGCAAAGGCAGGAGCTCTGTTCGCTTCAAGCCCGAAAGGACACTTTAGAGAGAGTATAGTGCACGCCTCCCGTCACAACACAAGATGCCTCTCGGAGGGGATGCTGGCTGCGCAATTTTAAAGTTAGGGAGCAAATAGAGAGAGAAACAGGGCAGACCATTTCCTTCTGATGCAGACAAATCAACGCGAGCACCTGAAATGAGGGGTCTCGGGAGAGCCAGCCAGCCCCCCACACTCACCGCCTGGAACCAGCCCCCCACACTCACCCACCTGGAGCCAGTCAGCCCCCCACACTCACCCGCGTTGGAGCCGGTCAGGTTGTAGCGCGCGTTCAGCTTCTTGATGATGTTCTCGTGGATCTGGTGCCACTCGCTCTCCGTGTTGCACCTGGGACATGGCCTCTGTCAGCGTGGGGGCCGTGAGCTGCAGCGGTGACGTCCAGCCCGCAGCTCTGTCCTCACCACCCAGTGCTCGCCCTCCTGCCTCCCTGCAGCTCCCGCAACCTCCTCAGCCCGGCCTGCACCCTCTTACAATCCGGGACCACTGGCTCCTAACCGCTCACCTGCCTGCCTGATTGCCCCTAACCTCTCGCCTGCCTGCCTGATTGCCCCTAACCTCTTGCCTGCCTGCCTGATCACTCCTAACTGCTCACCTGCCTGCCTGATTGCCCCTAACAGCCTCTGCCTTGGCCCCCGCTGCCTCGACTTCTGGATGGTCTTTACACAAGTAATCAAGGTAAAGCGAGGTCCTTCGGCGGACCCCAGTAGGCCCTGGTTCCCGCGCCCACCCCCGCGGGCAGCCTCTCACATGTACACTTTCAGGATGAGGTCGTCCTTGGTCTCCCCGGTCAGCAGGTCAGCGATGCTGAGGACCGCGCAGCCGAAGGGGCGCCGGTACTGCACGCTGCAGGCGTTCTTCTTCTCTCCCGCCCCCATCCGACCTGCCAACAGGAAGCAGACATGGCCAGGAAGTCATGGATCTGGGCCTCACGAGGCACACACACCATCATCATGTCATTGGCCACGGGAAGGACACAGGTTTGGGGCGACAGGAGATGCCCCTTCAGCCCAGGACCCTCCCCCGCAACGACCTAGCCGTGACCTCGATCATCGAGGAAACGTGAGGACCGAGCTGGTCCCACACGGGAAGCCTCCTCCCCAAGGTCCCGCGAAGGCGCCAGGAGGCCCGGGTCCGAAAGGCAGGGAAGTGCCTCTGCCAGGACATGTGCCTGCTTGTGGATTCAATCCCCGGCCCCAGTTGGGGTGCAGGCAGGAGGCAACTGATCCATGTGTCTCTCTCACATCCATGCCTCTCTCTCTCTCCTCTTCCCTCCTGCCTTCCACTCTCTTAAAAAAAACAATGGAAAAAGTATCCTCACTCCTCGAGTGAGGATAAAAAAAAAGATGAACACAAAATTGTTGAATCAAATGGTCAGGGAGCCCCATGAAACAAAAAGAAACAGCAAACTCCACGAGGACTTGTGGCGAGAAGACTGTGCCGGGTGAGCGGCCTGCGCGGGAGTGGGGAGGCCGGGGAGCAAGCCCCCGTTCTGGGATTCTCGGGCGCAGCTCCGGCTCCGACGTCTTCCTGATTCAGGCAGCGGGCAAGTCACAAGGACAGAGGCCTCGCCGCACGCCTTCCCCGTGTGCTCCCCCCGACAGGGCCACACCTACCGATCCGGATGATGTGCACCGTGATGTAGATGTCCCTTCGCAGCTCGCCGCTGCTCAGATCCTGCCAAAAACAAAGCCCAGTTATCGTAGAACTCGTCCGTGACAGGGGAGCCGTGAAAGGGCCCAGCACATTATTCCTGCAAATAACAGACGAAACGGAGCTGCCACACGACCCAGCAACTCCACTTCTGGGTATTTATCGAAGAAAATAAAAACGCTAATTTAAAACGAGACGTGCACCCCTGTGCTCCCTGCAGGATCAGCAGTGAGAACCAGGATGTGGAAGCAGCCTCGATGTCGTGTATAGATGGGCACAGAGGGAGGACGTGGCTCACGTACACAGTGGAAAGTGGTCAGCACGAGAAAGAGGGAAACCTCGCCAGCAACAACACAGACGGACCCGGAGTGTATGACGTTGAGTGAAATACTAGTAAGTCAGAGAAAAACACACACTGCGTGGCCTCACGTATATGTGGGATCTAAACGAAGAAGAACAATTAATAAACAAACGAAGCAGAAACAGACCCACAGAGACAGAGAAGAAGCTGATGGCTGTCAATGGGGAGGGGGTGGGGAGATGGAAATAAAAAACAAACCAACAATAACTAGCTCACAAGACAACCAGTGCCCACACACACAGAAAGCTTTAAAGTTTTTTAGAGGGCATCATAAAGAAAGGAGAGTTGTGTTTCATAGCATTATGATGGGTGACTTTTTAAAGATTTACTGAACTTTCTGTAGTACCTTTCTAAATGAAAGTTAGGTGTTTATTTCCTCCCCCCAAAAAATCAACATAGATGTTTTTAATGGTATTTTTGTAGCAGACGCATATAGTTCAAATCCTGCTCTAAAAGTACTACAGTGGCCCGGCTGGTGTGGCTCAATGGTTGAGCGTTAACCTATGGTTTGATTCCCAGTCAGGGCACATGCCCAGTTTGCAGGCTCTCAATCCCCAGTAGGGGGTGTGCAGGAGGCAGCTGATCCATGATTCTCTCTCAGCATTGATGTTTCTCTCTCTCTCTGCTTCTCCCTTCCTCTCTGAAATCAATAAAAAAATATTTTTAAAAAATAAATAAAAATACTATAGTGGACTTGACTGTAGGTTTACTGACGTCACATGATAGTTAAAGGGAAAGCCCGCTCTCATGTCAACCTCTCCCTCACTCATTCTCATATCGAGTCACGTTGCCTATCCAACACCAGGCGAGCTACTGCCTTGCACTCTGCGGGGAGTGTGACCAGCCCAAGGCCCGAGAGGAACGCAGGGGCGACCCTGTCCGAGTCCCGGGCACTCCTGGCCTTTGCGTGTCGTTCACAAAGTTTAAGCCAATCGCCTGCGTTGGCTCACAGGGATCCACGTCCCTCAATAACACACAGCGCCACGGGGAGGACGCGGCCCACTCACCACGAAGAGAGAGCAGTGCCGCTCCGGCTTGTCGGGGGCTTTGGGCAGCCCGTTCCTGTTCAGCCTCAGGAAGAACCGCTCGCTGCGGGAGAGAAGAAGGTTAGCATCGTAAAGGCTGTTTAGTAGCTCGGACGGGGTGCTTTCCCGGGTGCCCCTCAGCCCCAGTCGGGCTCCACACCCGTTAGATCACTCGCGTGACATCGAAGCTTTTCTAGAAAACAGAAGCGCCCCGAGACAACCATCATTGGCTCCACTTCGGACAAAACCGGCGAAGTAGCAACCACAGAGCCGAGAATGTAAACATACACGTGAACAAAATAGACTTAATATTACAGAAGCGTACACTTGGATCTTATATGATTTTATTAAGTGATGCCACCCCCAATTACTTCAACAAAAATTTTAATAAATTGAAAGAAGAAAAGAGGTTTCCATGCCAGTTGCTATCATCTGGAGGAGGCGCAAATGCAGAGTATGGGTGGCTGCTGATTCCAGAGTGCAGGCTGGGCACAGAGTAACTCACCAGCGAGCTTACGGCTATCAGTGCATGAACAATAAGCTTCATGCATATGTCCTAAACCTTTTTTTTTTTTACTAGAAATATTCCAGCATTACTTTGTGTTTGTAAAACAATACATGTGGCCTGGTGTTCCTGAAAACTGTCGATATCTACGTATTTTAATAAGTGCTTTTTAAAGCATGGATTTGTAGGATACAACATATATTCTAAATTTGAATTGGAAAAAACTTAATGTAAACGATGGTGTGTGTTATGCTCAACTTTAAAAAACAAATGTATGGAAAGTTTAAGGCACACAAACACATCCATTATAAGTTCCTACTAAATACTGCAAGCTTGCCTCGAGAGAACCACAACAGGTGAGACTCAAAGCACGGGAAAGAAGAAGAAAGTACATGAACACATATAACTTATGGAAACTGTTCATCAGGCCTCAGCTCCAGAGCTTTAGTGGGAAGGTTTCGGGTACACTGATCATCTCCTGGTATCCTCTGGTCCAGGTGGGATGAGAATAGGGTATTATTCACTGTAAACAGGAAAGCTGCCATGTGCTGACTAATCAGCAAGCAGACTTCGAGCTATTCTATCTTCCCTGAACTATCCACACAAAGTAACCCACACAGCCCCGATATCAAGTCCTATTTTCACGTAAGAATGATTATTACAGTCCTACAGCCCCTCTGCATTTTGCTAGAACTTTCCCATACATCACCCCATCTAGCTTTCAGGGGAACCTCCACATGGTAGGAAGTGTAGAAACCACAGGGTCCTACCAATCAGAAAGTGGGGCTGAGAGAAGAACGCATACCAGGTCATCTGGTCCGCGCCCGCCCAGGACCTGGGTCACCTGGTCCATGCCCGCCCGGGATCCGGGCCCCGGCGGCACCGGGACGCAGTTACCTGATGGGGCGGTTCTCCCTGCTGTCGAAGAGCGAGAAGACGACCTCGAGCTCCTCGCCCAGGTTGGAGCACATGAGGCTCTTCAGCTGCACGAAGAGGTGGTGGCTGCTGGCCTGCGCCGGCGCGTCCTTCTTCCGGTGCCGATGCTCCATCTGAAGGACACCCCACAGACATGGGATCAGCCAGGGGATGGTGGGAGCGACCACCCAGTGAGCTGCGGGGTGACCCTGCTGTCCTGTGTGATGCAGGTGTCCCCAGCCCATGACGGGGTCACCTCCCGACACACTGGTCATAAGAGGAAAATAGCCCAAGTCAAAACTGCACTGATGCCTGGCTGGGTGGTTCAGTGGTTGCGCATCGATCTATGAACCAAAAAGTCACGGTTTGATGCCCAGTCAGGGCACACGCCTGGTTGCGGGCTCCATCCCCAGTGTGGGGCCTGCAGGAGGCAACTGATCAATGGTCCTCTCTCATCATTGATGTTTCTCTCTCTCCCTCTCCCTTCCTCTCTGAAATCAATAAAAATGTATTTTTTAAAAATGCACTAAATACATCTAACCCACCAAACATCACAGCTGAGCCTGGCCCACCTTAAACTGCTCAGAATACATACACTGGCCTACAGTTGGGCCATTATTTTCAGTTTCCTCTCAAGACAAATCACATTCCTCTACTTCTCACCAGAAACAGGAGCACAGATGGGCATGATGGGGCGTGAAAACACGAACACAAAATCCAAAAACAATACAGAACCCTGTGCAGAACAGGTGGTTGGCCCTTGAGATCTGGGGGCCACCACTGCCCAGTGTCACGAAAGCGAACCCTACCACCTACGGGCAGTCCAGGAAAGGTCAAAAGTCAAACCCGGGGCACTGTTTCTACCAAATGCACATTGCTTTTGCACGTGCACACTATAAAGTTGAAAGATCCTAAGTTGAACTTTATAAGCCGGGGACCGTCTGTAATTTTTTTTTTTTTTTTGGCTCTGGATTTGGAATCTAATCAGATGTTAAATTCCAAATTTTCTTCCAACTTCTAAAGTAAGAAACTATCAAGTTGGCAAGCCACGGAGGAATCTTGTTTTTTTAATCATTAATGTTAAAAGGATACCAAGGCACTGAGCCGACTCAAGCCCGCCCTTCAAGGGGTCCGACTGCTTCCTGACCACCGCCCAGGGCGAGAACAAATCATGAGCTGTCCTTAAAAATCGCACTGATGGAAGCTAACCAGAGCAGCGGTGACGTCACATTCCTCACAATGAGAAGTTCTTTTCAAATTGACTAACTTGCAAAATCATGGTAGTTTTCTGGGGCAGGCCGTGGTGAGTGATATTCGATTACCAGAGCACGCGTTTCTAACCTGCTGTGGGCCCTGGGACGCCGACCCGCAAAAGCCAGCGAGGTGTCTGCGGGGGAGAGCGCCTGCGTCCACCTGTCCTTTCTGCCTCAGGACAGCCAGCCGAGGCTCCCCCGGGGGCAGGACCGGCAGTGAGGAGACGGGGGACGGACCATGCACCCCCACTCAGCCATCACCGGGAACTGTCAGAGGCCGAATATCAGCCTGCCCGTGTGAGGGAGGGAGGGAAGAACTAGACCACCTGACC